TGCTACACATCTTTCAGAGCTGCCACAAGACAAATCTATGGGCACAGAATTAAACACCCATTTAGATCGGCTTACCACCAAGTCAGTCTGGCTTTTGTCCTGCCTTTACATAGGTGCTGCACTGCTTGGACTGTGGCAATGCTTCTTTAGGTTAAAGCCAGACAATAAGGCAGAGCTGCCACTTCCCAGATGCCACATAGCAAGCGACTGCATGTGTGCTGCCATTCCAGTGCGACCTGTAAACCGCATCCACGGAAGCTTGAGGCAGCATGCTTCACTCTGGGTTTTCCATGGAGCAAGGGGCATATGCAAGCTAGGAGAGTTCATCGGATAAGAGGTGCTTTTCTAAGCCACAAGAAGCTGAGACCTCATGTACACCCATACATCTACAAAGTCTATTTTTCAACACTACTTCACATCAGCACGAACGCCTGCTGGAACAAGGGCAGATACATGTTGTCTTTTATTAATTGTGATGGGAAATAATCCATGTAAAGATGAAGTAGCGACTCTGACACACAAGGAAAAACCTGTCACTTGTCTGTCTTTCCCCTTTTGGGAAAAGGGGCAAGAGGCGGAAGAGAAACATAGGAAAGAACAGGAAATTAGATTCTTCTACAAAAGCTTTTAGCCAACTGCAGACAAGTAGAAGTATTTCTTTTTTACTGAGCTGAGAAGTTGTTCCCTTAAAGTTGACAGAACAACGAAGCAAAGACTGTTATATCACTTTGAGGAAACCATCACCCAAATCCTGTGAATACAGATGCGCTCACAACCACCCCCCCCAAAACAGAACACTTTGAAATAGCTTGGGTTTTTTTGCACTGGAACAAACATTTGTCACAAAACCCCAACCTGTCTGTAGATGAATAGCCCCATCTAACAAGCCTTGTCTTAAGTAACACTACTTTCATGGGAAGATACAAGAAGGGTGGGAAGGTAGAAGTTCTGCCATTTAACGAGTTCATTGTCTGTAACTACCCAGACTTAGTAGCTCTATAAGGTTTTTACTGGGTCTACATGTAACAGCTATTGGAAACTATTATTTCAGCCAGCAAAATTAACCCTTCTTATATATCTCAAAAATTATACCTGTTTCAATTTCTTATAGGAAAGAATACGTGAGATAATGCAACATTTCCTCAAAAGCAATCTAGCTGTATTCTAGGTCAGCAGAGAGCTGCAAGTTATGTTTTAATCACAAAGGTGAATTTGCCATGCTATTCTTGTTCGATGATGCTGAAAAGTAAAATGTAATTGGCAACTGTTTCACATATCAGTTCCAACTGATATTTGTATTGCATTTACAAAGCTGGTATACTGAACTCTCTTCTTATCTATAACCTTCGTAAACTGAATTTGCAGAAATCACTTAAAGCAATACATATTACTGTATCCCCAAGGCTGCTGGGGAGCGGCTGGGGGAGCTGGGGGGGCTCAGCCTGGAGCAGAGGAGGCTGAGGGGAGCCCTCATCGCTGCCTACAA